TGCATTCCTTTCTACAAGTAGGCCCGGAAGTTCCAGCCGTTGCCCACTGATGTTTCTGTTATAGACCTTTTGTCTATTGCTGGCGGATAATCTTTGATTGCAATTAGAAGATGGCTACAACTGTCGTTGAAACCTTGGTTGGAAAAAAAAAAAGAAGTTCCAGCGGCGGCACGGCTCGGAATGACGGACTTCATAGCTGGGCCAAGTACTGGTGGTTAAAAAGAAAGGGGGATAATTTGGAAAATACCCCCATAAGTTGAGGTATATGCCAAAATGGCCCTAAAAGATGTGGGTAGAGCGGAATGCCCCTCTGACAAAAAAAAACATTTTGTGAAATACTTCTCCCAATCTTTGCAATATACCCCTATCAGGTACCGTCCAACTTCGCAAAAATGCCCCTGTACTTGCCAACCTTTCCTAGGCGCTATTGCAAAAGCCCAAGGCCCAAGGGGGGATGTCCAGATCGCAAAGTTGCACACCAGCCTGACAGGGGCACAACACAAAGATTTGGGTCCAAAAGGGCATTTCGCTCTACCGACATCTTTCAGGCGCATTTTGGACATATCTCAACTTACGGGGGTATTGCTCATTCTTTTTTGTTTTTGTTTTCAAGTGTCTTTCTGAGATTTCCTGATTTCAGATTCTCCGTGAGATCGCTGTCGACAGGCAGGTCGCAGAGGGGCGCTGACACTTACATGCGCGTGCGTGCGTGCGTTGCCCCAAGTCGTGCTCCCCTCGCTTTTGCGAAACACCCCACAGCCCTTGCCTACGGTAGAGGTCGGTCGCTGCTGAGGAATAGGCCCGTACGCATGCCCATAGAGAACCAAAAAGTTAGAAAGAAACCCACATAGAAATGTAGTGAAAATTCCTCTGTGTGTGTGTGTGTGTGTGTGTGTGTGAGAGAGAGAGAGAGAGAGAGAGGAGAGAGAGAGAAATGAGATAGGGGGAGAACGGGCACGGAGAGCCATTCAGACACACACACCCAGAGAGAGAGAGAGAGAGAGAGAGAGAGAGAGAGAGGTGGCATAGTAAGAGAAGGGCCAGGCAGAGCCGTTCGGGGGGAGAGAGAGAGAGAGAGAGAGAGAGAGAGAGAGAGAGAGGGGGGGAGAACGGGCACGCAGAGCC